CGCGCCCGCCACCCACCCGCTGTCGGTCCCCGCGCAGGGTGGGCTGTGCTCGGCACGGCTTCTCCCTCTCTGCTCATGGAACGTGAAATTATTGTTCCTTTTAACACCTCTCATTTGAAAATGCAACAGTTTTCTGCTGGCGTGTTTTCAAGGAGTGACTGGTAACAGCTCTCTGGTAAAAGCATGTGCTTTTCTCCGAGCAAAGGGATTTAGTTGGAGGGTGTCAGGCTGATCCGATGCGCTGGTCCCTGCACTGGGTGGGGAGCGAGCGGAGGTTGGGGGGGTCCTGCCACGGCCAGGCAGAGCCCCCGCTCCGTGAGCCCGCGTGCACGTGGCCCCATGGCTTTGCCGGTGCAGCTCTCCCCCGAGCTGAGGCCCAAGCACACGGGTGAGGGACAATTAATCTCCTGTGGGTTTATAAGGGATTTGTGTCACTCCTGGGACTTTGCAAAGCCGTGCATTGCAGTTGCAGGCCTTGTAATACGGGTGTGGGCACAGCCATTGGAAATTAAAGGCAAGGCTGTACTCGACTGCTGGTGCTGCGGGGGGCTGGCAGAAGGGCTGCAGCCACCGAGGGCTCTGAGTCTTCCCTTGCTTGGCAATGAAGGTGAGAAATCCCCTCTGCTGGCGTGATCTGTCTGAGGAGCGTGCTGGGGGAAGCAAGGTTTAATCCCCCCTGACCGAGGACCATTCTAAGGGCATAAATGACAGAACAGAGATAGCTGGTGCCATAGCAACTGTAAAAAAATAATAGCTCTCTCGCTGTAGCTGACCCTTCTTTTCTCCGGGTAGTTTACGTGCAATGGCTCGGTGTGCCATGTGTGGAGACCCTCCTGCACCCGGGTCCTGCTCACTGCTCAGGAAGCCTCAGCAGATGGGCTCAGAGTCACTCCCAGCCCCGACGGGAGGAGCTGGCCGCGCTGGCAGCGGGGTGTGAGAGGTGGTCTGCGGTGGTCCGCGGGGAGCAAGTCCCCCCGCAGCATCCCTCAGCGCGGGATGCTGGGCTGCGGCCCCTTCCCGAGTGTGGAGCAGCAGCTGTTCAAACACTGGCATCTTTTTAAAACTAAGCTACTTGCTCTCCTGAAGAGCCTCTTGCTTTCTCCGCATCGATCTTTTAAATTAGACATAATGAGAGGCCCGAGGTGGGCTTTGTACTTGCACCTTGGGCAGAGCTGAGCATGCAGGAACAGCACTAGCCAGGCACGGCTGTAGCTATTCCCACAACAGGTCCAAGCCAGAGCTGCACGGTGGTTTTGCAACACAGGGATGTGCAGGCTGCATGTTGCTGTTTATAAGCTCCCTACGCCAAGGCACCGACCGGCATGAGTTTCCGAGCACGCCGGTGCTGCTCCGCTCCAGCCGAGCCGATGTGCCGCGCCGTCGGTTCGATGCCGATGCTGCCGTTCCAGCAGCCTCCATCCCTGACAGATCCCCCCGGGTCCTCGCTGGTGAATGAGCCGCGAATGCACCCAGCGCTCCCCTCCCGCTCCCCCAGCTCCCACCTTCTCCTCGGGCGCCCGATCGCCCACCCGTGCCGCTGCCCGCTGCCTCTCTGCACCGACCCGCTAATGCGGCTGCCTCTTCTCCAGCATCGGGTCAAGGCCGCTGCTGTCAAGTCAATGAGGAGAGAGCTTTGAAATCTTAATTTTTTTTAGAAGCTGCCAGCTGGAAAAACCATTGCAGGTTCTCAGGGCTGCTGGAGACGGGAGGAGGGTAGAGGGAGAGGTATCTTTGGGAGCTGGTTTTCACTGCGAGGAGCTGTGCTCCCCAGAGTCAGCCCCGGTGTT